GAACTTCAGGTATGCAACTGAAACCCGTCATTGTTTAGTATTGTACCATCTTTCTATCTTCATGCACTGCAATTATAACTGAAATATGAGTAAAGCAAAAATATTGGTCTACATTTTACAACATGTGATATATAAAGCCTGTTTCCGAGATGATTGCCATTTTACACTCCATGGCTTAGACGTATAGATTTTCATTCAGCACATCAACCTTCCCCGCCCACCATCACATCTGTCTATAGGAATTTTTGAAAAACAACTCCTGGTCTTCTGCAAACTCTGCAAACCTATAAACTATTCAAGAGGGTTATTCAGTGGGAAGGTAACAGCGTTCCGTGTGCCTTGGTGTTTAGTCATGCCCGCCACATGACCACGGAAACATCTTCGGACAGCGCTGGCTCTTCGGCTTTGAAACGGAGATGAGCACCGCAACCCTAGAATCGGATTCGACTGGCTTTCGAGCAAGGGAAACCTTTACCTTTACTTTAATAAGGCTACACAGCACAAAATGGTTCCGCGAACCTACTTGGATAAATTATCAGGATGTGTGGTCTTTTCTGCTGTATACAGGATATTGTAAATAAGATCCTACTGCTTAATATGTCATATTAATACTTATGTTATACATTGTTTACTGAATGTCCCATTTTGTTGATTGTACTGATTCACTATGTGTAATCACCCTTGAGTCCATGTGAGGCAGACGGACTATAAATAACATAAATAAAGAAATAAAGACATTTTCTGAGAGGGCAGACTAGTCATGGGCAATGTTCCCTCTAAGCTGTGGAGTCTTGTGAACAAAAATTCTACTTTGTGAGCTACCGGCATGAAAGTGGTGAGCAAGTGATTTGGCTACTGCATAAATCAGTGTGCTCTGGAGCCATCCCTTCCTAAGCTAAGACAAAAATGTATGAGCCGGAGGCTAAAAAACTCTGAGCTAGCTCACACTGACTCAGCTTAGAGGGAACACTGGTCATGGGGTGTAAGCTTTGGGGACCAAGATTTTTAATTCAACAAATATTTTAATTGAAAAACACCAGCTTGCCTCTAATTCCCCCAAAACGCCTTCATTAAGTGTTCTACGGTGCAATTCTGTGCGGAATTACTCCAGACTGAGTCCATTGAAATTCAGAACACAGCTTTTGTTCAACATCTGGACAATAAATAGGCAGTGTACAAAACATTTAGTTTGTATAAAATGATAATGAAGATTTGCGCAAAGATTATGTTTTCAGGTATAATATTACAGGTCCTGCCTTTAGTTCTTCCTGCAAACCAAAGCCAATGAATAATGGCAATGAACTCCAGGTATCCTATAGGATCACATGTAAGTAAGCAGATAATAGCTCTTGAACAGAATATTTCCATTTACCATGCATCCATATTACAAATACTGCAATAAATCTATATAACAGGGAGGGCGGGGTATAGTTCAAATAAATAAATTGATACCATAAAGATGCTATGACATGTTCTGTATACACCTAAAACCATAAACATGCTGCAATTTCCAAAGACAAGTTGCCAAAAAAAAGCAACCAACCTTCTCAAGCTTGCCATATACTGGTTCCCTTTTACCACAACATCCTACTTACATTTTGCTCATATAAAACAGCTTAGGGCACCAATTGATCCTTACAGTATCTCTAGATTATGTTCCTTTGCAGTCCATGGGAATATGATAACTTTTTAATATAATGCTGCACAGTGAACAAGTGCAAGAAACAATTGTAATTCTGTACCACCTCTACCTTTCAGAGTAAACGCAGTTTTCTAATGGTGATATTCCAAACATACAAGCGCAAGGGCTCATTCAAGGAATTGTTTGCTTCCAGTAAAGTTACTCTCACAACTTTGCTAGCATTACTATCCCTTTAAAATATTTCCTCCTTTCACTTCTAACAAAGAAAGGCAAATGAAACATTCCAGCTACAGCGGAACAAATAGAATTATGGACCAAAAGAATTCTAGTGTCCTAATCCTATATAACAACAGAACATTTATTTAAAATACGCATGCCCATCTCACAGCCAAAGAATTTACTATGACACTGCTATTTGATTCAAACAGGACTGGGGGAAATAGGTTGATCAAAAGATACATATAAGAAACATCACATCTATAAAATGTTGCCTACCATGAGATATTCTGGGTTGTTTTTTCAGTAGAAAGCTACAAAACCCAAGCCACATTTTGTGTTATTCTTGTTCTTTTCTATATACTCATTTTCTAAAATCCCTTCAACACCTTGGACTGTAACTCTACCACCGCTTTCTGCATGTTATTTATATCTTCAGCATGTTATCAATACAATTTGTCAAGATAGTTCCTTCCGTGACTATTTCATTTACCATAAACACCGGGCTGCGGAAAGAAATGACAATCTTTCACACCGGATACCATTAGCCTCCCATATTATAACCTTGTTGCTACCATTCAGTTCAGCACAACAGGTTCCAGCCAGTGTGTTCGTAAGGCATTCAGCCAAGTTTGGCTGACACACTCAGTCAACACCCTCACTACGCTTTCCAAAAGCAATATAAGCGGCTACAGAGGTGAAACCTGTTACTTGTGCCAGAGAAAAGAATTGCACCCCCCCCAAAAAAAAAAAAAAAAAAAGACAACAGAAGCTCTTTCACTTGTTGCCACTGTTTGTTATAAAATTGCCAGAATCCATCCTTGTTTATAAACACAGAACCAAGAGCGGTATTAAGTTCTGCACAAGATGTGAAAGAACGAAACCCGCCTCCTCCTTCTTTTTTTTTAAATAACGACAATAAAAACAAAAACGACGCATTCTCATAGCAACGATTTATTCCCACCCCCGTATCTGAAGTGCCTCATGAGAAGGAAAACAAATACTCACTCAATGAAATAACTGGCTCCCTCTTCGGAGAATCCCTCCTCCCAGCCGCGGGGAAGATCTACGAGAGAGAAAGGGGCGGGAGGGGAAAGGGAAAGGAAGTGGCAGAGGGAAGGAAGGAGGAGGGGACGTGAGGATCTTTGTGCCCGGGAGGTACGCGAGCGCAAATCCCGGCCGCACAAAGGTCGTCAGCCTCCCCCCCACTCCCTTCCCCATGAGAGAGAGAGAGAAAGAGACAAACACCCCAGAGCAGCAGCAAGAGTGAGAAGTACAGGATCCCTGGTTGATTTATTTTATTGGTGTATCCCACTGTTCCCCTTAATGATGATCCAAGGTGACTTGTATAATTCTCTGTCTCAGAAGGAGGGGGGGGGGGGGGGGGGGGGGGCACCCACCTGAGCGGATCATGTGGCCGGAGTTGACGGGCTCCCCGGTGCGAGGATGCAGCCAAGTAGTTGAGCGGGCCAGGTCGCTAAGGAGGGAGAAGCGGCAAACATGCACCTGTTAGCACAGCCTGTGGTGGGGCGGCGGGGGGGAGTGGGAGAGAAAGAGTGGGGAGAAAAGGGAGGAGGAGGGGAGCGGAGCGCGCCCCCGCCCTCGGTTTCCCGCCCGGAGAGACTCACTCGATGAAGAAGACCCGGCCGTCCCCACAGACGCCATAGGACCAGTGCTCAGGTAGAGTGTCCCGCCCCACCGCCTCGGCCGCCGCCATGTTCGCCGCGCTCGCGAGCCTGCCTGAGGGAGCGGGAGAGGGAGGGGGGGGTGCGCGAGGGATCGGGAGGGCAGGCGAGGCGAAGGCGAAGGCGCCCAGTGGCCCGGCTCTGCTCTGCTCAGCTCTGCTCAGCAGCGCCACCGGGCAGGGAAAACGGGTGCGTGAGGCGGCAACGAAACACGGCGCGTGTGTCCCGCCCGCTCCTTCTGTGCCTGGGGAAGGGTGTGAGAAGCGGGGTTTCAAATCTGCGTGTCGTCGTCCCCGTCCCCCCCCCCAGGACAGGCGGACTTGACCCCAGTGTTCCCTCTAAGCTGAGTGAAGTGTGAGCTAGCTGACAGGGTTTTGTTTTTTTTTAGCCTCCAGATCACGCTGTTGTTGTTTTTGTTTTGTCTCCGCTCAGGAAGGGACGGACGGCTCCAGGGCAAACGACTTCACGCGGGAGCCCCCTCGGCGCGCTCGCACCACTTCAACGCCAGGAGCCGCTCGCCAAGTATTGAACTTTGGCTGACGAGACTCCATCCACTGCTCGAGGCGGGAGAGCGTCGCTCGGCGGCACGCGCTCTTTTCGGGAAGATGACAAACTCCCGAATGATGCCGTCAGAAGAGTTTTGTCTTTCATCACATGATGCTGGGAAAGCTTGAAGGTCAAAGAAGACGGGGACGGCAAAGGATGAGATGGTTAGACAGTGTTATCAATGCAACGAACATGAAGTTGAGCAAACTTCAGAGGATGGCGGAAGACCGGAGGGCCTGGAGGGAGCTGGTCCATGGGGTCGCAAAGAGTCGGACGCGACTGTGCGACTGAACAACAACAACAATCTATTTTGAAGCTCGTATCAACTTACGCAGTTACCGCGTTGAGTAAATATTGTTGTTGGCAACCGTGAAAGTTTGTGTATTGTCTATCTGACTAAGTTTCGTGATAGCAAAGTTATGCTCAATGTTCAATTGGTTTTTTTTATCACTCTCTAGTTTAGGGGTACATCTGGATTGTACCTCTATTACGTGTATCTTAGCCTGTTATTCAAATCGCTTTTAATGTTAACTCATTGTTTCTTTAAATAAAAATTGTAATTAAAAAAAAATTAATTAAAAAAGAAGAGTTTTACTGGTTTCGAGCACCCCCCTTGATTGCCCCGCGACACTCCAGGCGACAGGTTTTGCCTCCCCCAAATCCTCTGTTCCTTATTCAGAACTTCACCAAGCTCATAATTGAGGTCTACGACCAGCAGTAGGTAAGGGGACAGAGAAAAGCGTGTGTCTGAGCTAGTGCAAAATGCCTCTTCAAGGGCAGAACTGGCTCTCTCTGAACTCTGCTGGTACTCTTAATGTTTTCCAATGGAGTCCATGCAAGTCAGTTGGCATTCCTGGCTTTCCAATCGGCCTTCCAGTGTCTCCCATTGTTTCCAATGGGCAATCCTGTCCTTCCTTTTAGTACATCCCCTATCTGAAGTATTCCCAGTAGTCATGTATGGCTGCAAGAGTTGGACTATAAGGAAGGCCGAGCGCCGAAGAATAGATTCTTTTGAACTATGGTGCTGGAGAAGATTCTTGAGAGTCCCTTGGACTGCAAGAAGATCAAATCAGTCAATCCTAAAAGAAATCAACCCTAACTGTTCCCTGGAAGGCCAGATAATGAAACTGAAGCTCAAATACTTTGGCCACCAAATGAGAAGGGAGCACTCACTGGAGAAGACCCTGATGCTGGGAAAGATTGAAGGTCAAAGAAGACCAGGACGGCAAAGGATGAGATGGTTAGACAGTGTCATCGATGCAACAAACATGAAGTTGAGCAAACTTCAGAGGACGGCGGAAGACAGGAGGGTCTGGCGGGATCTTGTCCATGGGGTCGCGAAGAGTCGGACTCGACTGTGCAACTGAACAACAACAACTATCTGAAGTATTTACGAGATAGTCAGTGGCACAGATATGTGTTTGTGGAGGATGCCATGCATGTGTCCTCCTGACAGCTACTAGTTGCATAGTGATTTTTTGCACGTTGTGCAATAGAGCACTCTTTGCAAGGCTTGCCTTCCCCTTGGCACACAGTCATGTCAACTTGTAAACAATTAATTTACATCACTTTTAAATGGGTGTGTTATTTCCTCAGAACTAAACACATCTCCCCTGAGTTTGCCCACAACAAACCTACTGCACATCTCAATATGTAGACATCCTGCCTTTTACTATTAACAGCACGGCTGTGAATGGGAATCCAGTAGGAGACCTTCTTGTGTTGGCTTCAGTCCTATTGAATACTTTGCCAAAGGAGGTTTTGAAATTAAGAGTAAAGCCTGATTTAAATGTAGCTGAGGCTAAATAAGCCATCTGTGTGATTTTGCATTCACACAGTGTTTCAAGCAGGCTGCTACCTATATCCATGCAAAGCCATGTAGGTTTAAACTAGACTTTGTGAAAATGCAAAGACCCATCAGAAACTGTTTTTGCTTTAGTAGCACACTGAAATAAAACTTTAGGCAAAAGAAGGAGCTTCAGCCCCAATACATTTTATTTTAGAAATTAAGCCAAACAGTTGTGTGCCAAAGATATGATCTGGTAGCTCTGCCAGTTTTGACTCATAACTTGCCACATATATAAAAGAACATTGCTGAACTCCATGTCAATTAATTTGAAATAATCTTCATCTCTCTTGACCACTTCTGTACAACTCTTACAACTAAGATATTTGTAGAAGGATTAAAGAATAGATCTTTCTGTGCTCTTCAATGCATGCTTATGGATGAAATACAATTTCTAATATGAACTGGTGATTATGTAAGCAAGAGTGGCAGACATTTTAGGTTACTTAACAAGGAGTAGAAGATACTAGTTTTTCATTCATTATAAATTTATTATAGTTTATAATTACATGCACACAGAAAAAGTATGAGTTTAGGTGGTGTGTCTTTTTACTAATCTTTATCAACTGAAAGACTGCCTAGGACTATAAGCATACATCAGCTTCCTCTCACACCAACTGGCTTACTTCAGCCTATCCCTGATAATGCAAGTGTCATGAGGAGAAATTATTTCCCTTGCAAAATGTGTGCATTTCACACACATGGATGCAAATTTAAAGATGCATCCCCCTTTCCAAAGTATTAACATGGAGTCTCAGCCTACAAACTCAACAATTTGGAAGCAATCTGCTCTCAAGGGTTACACTATATGAATTCCAATCAAAATAAAAGGATGGCATTTATTCCACAGGATTTATTTTTTCCTATTATGTCAGATATATACAAGAAATACAGGTCTGTTCACCCAGTGTAATTTGACTGAGTTATACACTGTGTCCTCTCAAGATGCAATCAATTGTTTCCTCTTCTGTGTAAAATTGTTTCCCTCTTGCATCTGTTCCTATTGGACGAAATTATATATGCAGAGAAACCAGCGGGCCATGGGAAGATAAAACCTCAGGGGTGTTGGAGGGAATTATTATGTTAAGAGAATATAAGTTTGTACTTGTACTTGCTGCACAAACTAGAACACAAGTTGGTCAAAACTCACTGAAAGCACTGTCATTTTGGCGACATTAAAGAAGCAGTCAGAGATGAAATAGCAAGTATCTGGTGAGAGCAGGGAAAGCTCAATGATGAATGGAAAAAATATATTTAAGACTAATACAAGTTCATTCACAGCAGATTTTTTTCCTGTTGGATATTGAACAAATGTACCCTTTCTAGAATAAATGAAACACCTAATTACATAAACCTTTATTGGCATGTTAACAATCACAGAATGAGTAAGACATCTTATCCATAATACGTAAAAATGAACAGAAACATCTAATTCCTGAACACATTCTACATGTTCATTGCTTCTGACATTGTACTTGATACCAGTGGGATGAGGACATTTTAGAAAAGGACACTAAAGCAAACCTGTCAATAAAACTAAACTGTCAATGAGTATCTGTATTTTTCTGTAAAATATTAGTAAGGCTGCTCTTGAAAGTTAATATTTAGAATCACAGTAAATATATAATGTTATTGCTTTTTCTATAGTACCGTCAGTGTACGTGGTGCTTTATGGTGCTTTATGGTAAGAGAAGACAGCAGAGATCATACAATCTAAATTTCAACGCAGCAGAGCCAAAAGAAAGGGAAACCGTGCCTTCGGGTTCAGATACATGGAGTTACATTTAGTTTTAGAAGGAAATGAGAACTGAGGAGTTTTGCCAAGGGCTCTAAATAAATAAATGAATGAAAAGAATACTTGCCAAGGGCTCTAAATAAATAAATGAAAAGAATTCATACAAGAGTCTCTGCAGGATGTAGACCTCCATCCACACACATACCCCAGTAAGGCTGCAGTCACATGTGCCAGTTGAAGGGGAGGGGACATGAGGCTATTTCATCTGGAGGAATTTGACACACAGTTGCAAGATCACACATCCCTTTGTAGTTGCAGGCGCAGCCCATCACTGTGTGATCAGATGCAACTGCAGGTGAGTGGGGGGGGGGTGGCCATTTGTTTCCCATGCGCATACATGAAGAATTGCATCTCTGCACTGAGGGCACCCTATGGAGTATGCGATGATGCACATACTGCAAAGGGGAGGGGGGAACGGCACTGAGCCGGGATTGCCCGATCAGACCGTCCCGACGGCATGAGAGCATGCTTGCATGATCAGACAGGGGAAAGTCAATCCATGGCGCACTGGAACCCGTTACAGCTGTACTTTCCCCGGTGTCTTTTAACTCCACTTCTGTGGCGGAGCAGCATGGGTTGCCGATGACTGTGGGATGCTTCCCAGATGGTGCATTCACACCTATGTCGGATCTAAAGGCATGTGTGATCGCAGCCTAATAATGACAACTGGGCTTTTTCAGTAGCAGCACCTCAATTGTGAATTGCCCTTCATCTTGAGTCTTGCCTGGTGCCTGCATTGCTTTCTTTTAGGTACCAGGCCAAAATGTTTCTGTTCACCCAGGCTTTTAATCAAGGGTTTGATTTTCGTAAACACTGTTTTAGCCTGGAAACTGTTGTTTCAAGCTGTCTACAGTCTGTTTTTATT